TGTACTTACAAATTCATATCCATTCAGTTCCCTTTACTAGCACATGCAGGAGTGAGGTTCAGTTGTGGTAACTCCAAAACAGATTATATTTAAACACTGTTCAGAATTTCTTCACCATACAACGAGTATAATGTTATTTCATTTCTCTGATTCTCCAAGTTTTAATGATTAATTAGCAAATAAATGAAAATGCACCTCAGAAAGGAAGTGGGCAAATAAACATGCCCAAAAGGTTGTACATACATTTCCCTCTTAGCTCACTGAGAGATGGCAGCAAAGAGCTCCATTCCTCACTTTCAGAGCTGCCACAGTTTCATACAAGTATTTTGTGGACACATGAGCTAAATATCCTTTCAGATGGATTAACAACAGCGTGTTTTCCTCATGAGATAGGGTTTGCCTCATTCAAAGACCATATAAATATGACCACCAATAAATGAAAAAAAAATCCCATGAGCTGCCTAAGCCTCTGTGACCTGTTGGACTGGCTTGCTGAGGGCAGGCCAAGGCCAGTGGCAATGGTAGCCAAAGGAGAATTGTGTGGCATCAGAGGAGTTGCCTTTCACACTCTCTGTAAAACAACATATATAATATGGATGGGTTGGCCAGTGAATCACTCCAGCCCTTAGAATAGCCACAACAAAACTCTGAATATTCTCTATACATACTACCATACACTGATATTTATATAGGAGAACTGGGATTTCAGAGATAACAAAAGGGCTTGAGACAAGAAATGGGCTAGAGTATAAAGAATCCAAGCTTCCTACTGCCCACTTTGAAAACATATGCCAGCCCAGAAGTTTGATCAAAATTAATTTCTCCAGTTCCACCTGACTGTACAGTTCAGAACTGTAGCAACAGTTCTTTGAATACAGAAGTATTTTCTTAATATATTTTTACTTTTTTTAATATAGACCATTTGATTATTTCTTTCTTGATATTGAATATCCAGAATAAAAATAAACAGGACTTAATTACCAAAGACATGGAAGAAAAAAAAAGTAATGTAATGTTAGTATATTGTCACAAATCTTAGATTTTCATTAACAATACAGTTAAAGTACAATATATATCCTACTAAGGCAATAGAAATCTCAGAGCTGAAAGGACCAGGAAAGTGTACTGTGAACAGCAACAGTTATACACATTGTTTCAAGAACAACCTAAAAAAGCCTAATTGGTGGAATCATATTAGAAGATTGAACAGCAACTACTTTAAACTCACTGTCCCCAAGCAAAAACCCATGTTTGCAACAAAGCCTAGAACAAAAGTTCCCATATATGGCTCTGGAGTTTTCAGGCTTCTCCATCAAACCTGCCTATTAGCCAAAACCTCCCTCTTTCCTACATCCTGCTCAGCTCCTAGCACAGAGCTAGTCCTTCTGTTATCCTCTGTGTTATCCTGCTGAAATTACAGGATACTGGGAAAAAAAATCAACAAACAAAAAACCCCAAAAACCAGAAGCCTTGAGGCTGGTCCCTCTGCAGTGTCTGCGAAGGCAGATGGGATTTACACGCAGGCTGAGTTTGGGCAGCCCACAAAGGCTGTAGGTGGACATGAAGTGTTTTCTGAACAGCTGCTGTTCCTGGGGCTGGACACTTCAGTTACCCAGCAGAGGTGAACAATACCATTGTACTGCTGTGCTGAAGCACAGAGGAGCTTTTTTTAGCATTCATTTCATTCATTAAAATAAATCTTCCTTGTAAATTATTGGATGGGAATTGCATCCTTAAACCTCACAGATTTGGTTTTGCTAGTTTTATGGTATGTACAATTGTATGGGTATCATTTCTGTAATCAAATATTTTATATTTGATATATAGAGGTTTCTGTTACAGCTATTTTCTGAATGCTTTCCAGGGCAACTGGCATGTTACATTTTCATTTCCTGGCCATACAGGAATACCAGATATGGATGGAGGAATCTTTACTGGGTTTGTCTCTTAAAATTGCCACTAACCTATAGCAGTATTTTCTCACCCTCCTCTTCCTTCCCTTTGGGCAAAATGGTACCTCAAAGGCTTCCAGTTTTATGCAATGCTCTCTAAGTTTTCCTTCCCCCAATTCCACACTCTCAAAATAGAGAACTACATCTGCCCCTGTTTTCGTCTCTTTTAAACACCAAATTTCTTTCTAAAAAAGTTTTTAGCAAATTTTTTCTTACAGTATGTTTCAAAACTGCAGAAGGAATGATAGAAAACAGTAAAAACTTTACAGCCTATCCCCTTCTCCCCCATTCCACACCCTATAATCTCTGTAATTAGAAAGCAATTGTATTGTCTTTTGTTTTTCTCAGGCTTTCCAGAATAATTCAACTTTCAGTAAAGAACATATCTGGAAATACATCTGTGTTCTAAACACAGAAATAAAAATGTTCTAATGCAAGTTAAGTTTCACTCTTACCTACAGCATTCCCCACTGTGAAGGTTACTGTTTAAAAAGTCTGTTTATAATGCACCATCTGCTTGGCTTCTTTACACTCGTTTTATTCTTTATTGTGTGCTGTAATTAATGAGGCTTTCTGTATTATTACCATAAGAGCTGATGTTTTTCTTTATAAATGAGAAGCAATAGCTCCCTGATGAAAATTCCAGCTTACTTCAACAAATGAGAGGAATTGCCTTAAGACTGGATGGTTTGCTCAGGTGTCATTGCAGCGTCTGAGCAGAAGTCTCAGCAATCCTGCAGCCCACTTGCCTTCAGACACCGTGAACAGGAGGTGATAGATGAGCTGGATGAAGTTGGGATGGCAACCTTGTCTGTAAAGGACAGTTGTCACATGTGACTACTGTACTTTCTAGCAGATAAGAAAAGAAATGAGACAAAATAATTTAACACCAAATCTCGCTGTGAGCTTTGGCTTCATCTGTGCTTGGTGGCTTTGAAATACATCACAAAGATAAGGACATGCTGCTAATGCCTTTTGACTGGAAGGACAATTTCTGTATGCTCTTGTTGCCTCCTTTTCTTTTATTTTTTTTTTAAGTTGCACATCGTCTTATCTTCGTGTGGAATGATGGAGTATTTTAGATATACAAACAGAACAAGCAGAAATAGCATGACAAACACGCCCTCTGGTTTGGCTCCACACAGACAAGGGAGCAAAAAAGCCACACAACATGAAACATTCCCTGGCTTCCAATTCACAGACAAGCATGATGTCCTAAAAGGAAGGATTTGCCTTTTTGTGGACTTTGACTTTGTCTCCTTTCTTCAGCTTTCACCTCCAGTAAACACCTTGCACTCTGCAGACCACAGCTGTACAGAGGAGACTTCTGTACTTGCCCTTTAGTATTAGCTAAAGCCTAAGAGATAATCAGCTAAGGCTGAAATGACCTCTGATAGTTGCCTTTCATAAACTTAACAGCCTGCCTTCAAAAACACCTTTCTCCATCTGCTCATCAAGGAAAAGGATTTCTGATGGTCTGTACTCACCATTCACCCAGGACTGATTTTCTCATTTCGGGGGGTTTTATGGAGCTGATTCTCACTCTCTCAACATCTCTCAGCTTATTAAGTCAGACCTGTTCAGTCTGACAGCACAAATGCAACTGGGCACGACCGAGCTACATTAACAATTCTATGCAATTTGATCTATACGTGCCATATGCAATTAATCTGTACATGCTTGTTAGCAATTTCTGGAATATTAGGTGTACTGAAACTTTCTCATCATTTTGAATAAGCAGGAGGAAAAAGAAAGGAATTAGGAAGGAAAATATTGCATAATATCACAAAAAAAACAGTAGAAGAAAGATCTTATATAATACTTAGCATATATTTTAATATAAATCTTCTACCAGTAAAGGTCTCCGTTATATATATACGTACCTACCCACACAGACACATATATGTATACATGCTTTAAATGTATAGAAATCTTTGACTTATTACTTCCACTGGTCTAGAAAGAAGACTTCTGCAGGATATACTGGTGACAAGTTTGCAACAGGCACAGTGCCACTGGTGAAGTCTGTGCTACTGATATAATACAGCATGAACCAAACTGCTCCTTCCATTGAGAGGTGAGGGGTAAAATAAAACCTCATTGCTATTCTCCAGGAATTCTGGACAGGAGACAAATCCCTTCATTTTCTGTTTATTGACTGGATCTCATATTTATATGCTGTATCACAAGATCATACTTAGCACTAAAGCTCAGTGATTAATTCATAATAATTACTGCCTAACAAAGTCTTCTCATCTTCACAGAAGACTGATGTATTTTGCAAATTCCTCAGTTATTTGTTGTTCTGAAGTAATGAATTAATTGCAATAATTTTCTGCTTTATAGAATGGCAACAGTTGTGTTTTCAGCTGAAACATGGCATGTGTCATACAAGGCATACGTTACTGTTTTTCTTTGCTGGCTGGCAATATTATATGCAGTTATTGCAGGAAACACTCACAAACTCTTACATAGATATAAATCCTGTTAGAATTTGGGGGAGCATTCACTGGAAATATTAAAATTATTTTAAATTCTTTCACTTACAAACAACACTTTGTGACTTCAACACTCTTACATTATGCACTTGTATTACTGTCTGCAGGATGATCAGTGTTAGTAAGTTCAGTCCTTTGTAGAGAACTGAACCACGGGCCATAGACACTGTAATAACCATGTTCCCAGAAACCAGCAGAGATAAGAAAGTTTACTCTCAGCATTTATCCCTTCAAACTCTATTATCTGTCATGAATCCTACTCTGAATTCCATCAAAGAAGCCCCATGTAGCCTTGAGTAACAAATGGATTCATTTCAGTATAGAGCTCAATGCTCATTAAAAACATTAAAAGTCTAAAGAAGTTAAATCTAAACTGAATAAAAGGAATTTTCTCTGAATACTACACTTAAGGTGTGTAATATCTAAATTTTAAACATAAAATCATCACAGCCATTGAATGAGCTGTCCACGTAGATTTTCTGTTGTTTCCCTGAATTTTTATTACAGTACACATTTTGAGCCTAAATGACTCTCAGAACAAATCACTTACCTCCTATGGCAGTTGTTGCTAATGAATTGGACTTCACTGGTTTTCTATTTAAGACAGAATTCTGAAGCACAGACTGGTGGTATAAAACTACCCATTGGGGTAGTATTTTGATTGTAGACTTGCTTGTATGCACTAAAACATTCCCAGTTTTCCTAGAGAAACGAAACCATCGAAACACATTTGTTAAGGACAAACAATACACAGAGCAGAAGCTATACCTGATAGTGCTAAATTTAACAGCTAAGCCTGTAAATGCTACTGTACTAAATCAGATGGATACTAGAACTATCAGTTGTTTGGAGAAATTTTATTCCAATTTCCTTTGTGCTGCAGAATGCAAAAGAGTGATTTTTTAGGCTCTGCTACAGCCAAGCTGATGGCTAAAGCATTCCCACTTTGATCAGTTTAACAAATGCATATTAATTAAAAATATGGTAATTCTTACATACTTTTGTAGAAGCTATTAAAGAGAAAGGCCACAAGGAAGTTCTTTTTGATTCCTCCAAGCTCTACTAGTAGAAAAAAGCTCTATATTATGATTTCCCAAAGCATGAAAAAACTGCAGAAAATGTGTTTACACACACATAAGATTTGAAGGTGTGATAATCTGTGTATGTCCATATCCAAGAGTTTATAAAGTTAGTTGTACATATATTTTTTATTACAGATTGTAACAAACCTCATAAGCAAAACATTTTGGACTTATTCTTCTTACAGGCTAAAAAAAGTTTTATCAAAATGAATTCAGTAAATGACGTGGTTTCTTTTACTGAATAAAATGCACCTATGTAGAAAGCAACCACGAGGCTTTACTCTCCCTACTCATCTGTTCACATAGATATTGTCCCCTGAGGTTACAAACTTTGCTTTTTGCCCATTTTCTCTTTGAATTTCCATAAGATTTGCAAACATCATTCAAACAGCAAACACTAATGCAGGTTATTTACAACCCTCTGTGTAGGGGAGCTGATGCTTGCAAATGTAGTAGGAATTCTGGTTAAGTATTTAGGCTATATGGTCAGAAAACTATTTACAGTCCACCATGGGCATGGCCAGTTCTTATTCAAATGTATTTAATGTTTTCATCAGGGTCCTAAAGGCTCCCTGTGTGTAATTGGAAGGGATCTCCAGAAACAGTCACAGCCTGTTTATTCTGCTCCAGAAACTTACATTTGCACTACACTTTGATTTTTTAACAATTGATACCTTAGCTGGTAATTGATATATTATCTAGCAAAAGGGAAGCACCCCTTTGCAGTACCATATGCAGGAAGATTGACGTTTACTGGTAGTTTTATTCCAAAGGGAAGATTACAAAGCAAATCACCACAATCTCATCTGTGTGGTTGCATTTGTAGATATTCTCCTTCTTCTCGCAGCTGGGCCCCAAGCTGAGCCCACGTCAAAACACACATCAAATCCAGAAAAAAAATTTACAAACTTTGGCCTTTTTATATAGAGGCACTTTGGGAGAGCTCACTTTTGACATGTACATTCTCTCACTGAGAGACCTGCAAGGCTTGATGATGACAATGCCCACTATTGGATGACATGAGGATAACGCAGGAAAAAAAGTAAAAATTGAATGACTTAATGTCTAAAATACAAAGAGTGAGAAACACTGAAATGCTGTTGGACGATATGGATGGAGGTGTAAACTAGGAGGGAATAAACAGTTCAGAGAGGCAGTGAGATGATAAACTGTTGAATGGCAAATTGATGCAGGACACCCAGTAACCCAGAATAGTCTGTACCGTGTGTGATACCAGCACACAGAGTGTCCCCAATAGCACAGCGTGTGGTACGTACCACGTCCCTGCATGCTTTGAGGTACAAGCCCAAGAGTTACTCCTTATAAACAAGTGCCATTCCAAGTTCTTATTAAGGCACTGAGGTCTTTTCAAGGCATCAGTGATGCAGTCTGGCTGCACTTGTGACTGGGGACAGCACAGCTCCATCAGCTCTAACTGCTCTTGTCATCAGCTATGGGGAAAAATCCTCCTCTATGTTACATACTTGTAAATGTCCAAATATGCTGCCTAGACAACAAAGCAGTGAGCATATGCACCAAATGCCATAGGGACTGTTGTTACCGTGCTTTATGTTCAGGCAGTTCAGTTTTCTCTGGTGGTGCATCCAGGTTTTGTTACAAGATTTTTCACACAGTGCTGCACTTCTTAGGCTTGGAAAGGTTATGGTTTGCATAAACTTCCATGATCACCAAACCACTTGCTGGTGTCCAACCAATTGTAATGAAAGTGAAACCTGCCAATGCCAAAAGATTTTATTGAAATAGGAAAACACAGCAAGCAATCTACAAAATCCACTGAAATAGTACCCTGTGACCCCAAACCAGGTAGCATCGAAAGTTACTTTTAAATCAATACTTCACTCTGCAGAAAAATCAATTTCCTTCCCTCTGCAATCCATAAAATTCATCAGGAAAAAATTACCCCTTACATATTACAGTCCTTTCACCCTACTGGTTTGGAAATTAATTACAATAGACAATTTCAAGCCCTGTAACAGGTTGAGGCAACACGCTATAAGGTATTTTGCAACCTGTGAATTAAAACATGGATTAGATGTGATGTGAACACCTATAGCTTTCCTGATTTGCCCAGTTTCCCTTTGGTAAAGGCAAACACTGCTTTTTTAGCTACAGCCTTCTAGTGTCTCAAGTAGTATCCAGGTTTCATTCCTGGAAAACAGTCACCTGTTTGCAGATACTGTGCAGGACACACACACAACCCCACATAACAAAGCTTGTTCTATCAGCATCCAAATAATTTCTCTTAAGGCACCGACATCTTGCCTTTATTCTTCCATATGGGAACTGCAGCCCTGCTGTGAAAGAGTTAAAGAGCTTTACTGCACAGCACACATGGAGATTCCTATCAGTCAGCTTGTGCTCTTTGGTATGGATGTTCCACATTTGGCTGCCTGGGCAAACTCTTCATCATCTTGGAACTTTCTACCTAGCTCGTAGAAAGCTGTTAAAAATGTTTTTAAATATAGTGGTTTGCTGTTAAATATGTTTTTAAATACAACGTGCAGAATCTTATTGACCTAGTCAAGATTTTGCTCATTTTAATAATGAAAGTTTCTTTTTAGAATATTTGTCTACATAATAAGCTGACTTGCTCAGCACACACCACAGAGCCTGACTTTCCATTACATCACTGTTTTCCTGCTGTTCTAACCTCCATTCCTTTACCCCCAGTAACTTTTGCTTTTTTTTTCCCCCAACTGTTAGATATTTCTTTCCTGAATTTAAATTGTCTGTATCTTTTAAAGACTTCAAAGTCCTTGTGAGGCTATAGTCACATCTTATGAAAGAGGTCCAGCCTCTGAGAGGTTGTTTTCTTCCAGTGTATCCCACAGCTCAGATCTTTACACTTTTTGTATTCAGTTCTATATTGTCTCTGACAGAAGTTCAATAAAATTGTCTTTCTACCCACAATATCAGGGTTCTCAGCATTGCTGGAACTGAATGTTATAGACCTACAGTCTATCTCTGTGACAAACCTGAACTCCCCTGTCTGCCTCATTATATGGTAGGTCACTGGCAAAAGGTAGCAGTGCCTCTCCTGGAAATTGATGTATCACTTCTACTGTTTTCAGCCAATTACTTTATGTCATAATTCATGAAAGTTTCCTTTTTAAACAGTCAGATGGTTAGTTATCTAAAAAGGTGGAGCATTATTTTGTTATTGTTCCCCTTGGTATTGCCTCTCTTGCTATAAATCTTTTTAAAGTTGTTATTTCACTACTTTTTCTCCTTATTTCTACATGATATTATCTAAAATCTTCCCTGGTTTAGCCACTTTTCAATTCTTAGCTTCAAGTAAACGTCAAAGTTATCACACATTTTAACAGTGTTAAAATGCAGCACCTTGGTTTCCCACAGCATCAAGCAGAGGATGCAAACGCTGTTTTAAGGCTTCACTTGATTCTTTCATTCCAAGCCTCATCCAAGTTCCACTGTGTGCAGCAGAGGGACAGGAAATTTGAAAATAAAAAGGGCAAACTGATATTTACATACATACTTCAACAATGCAGCAGTACATAGAGCTTATATGTTTACTGAAGACAGTGCAACCAGGATATTTGATTCTACCTAGCCAAGAAACACCTCATCCTGCTTGCCTCCAAGGTCTCTTCCATTATATGCCAATAATTTTTTAATGAATGGAAATTTTGTGGCTGTATGTAACGACTGAACTCAGTGACCTGGGAGGTAATTCACAATTCTGATATGTTATTTTCCATTCCTTATTTTCATCCTTCTTTTTAGACTTGAACATTGTTATTTTAATCTCGTTACCCTTTCTCCACCCATTTACAATACATTTTTCTTTTTGGTTTTACATTTGAAGACAAGGAGACATGAACAGAGAAAAGGAATGAGGAATAGTGAAGGGCTGAGAGAGCATAATAAACTGAGAAGAATCTGTGCACCAGGACTCGTGCTCTGTAGAAACACCATAAGACTCAGTCTGTGGTCTTGTTTCCTGTTCCTCAGTCACCTACAGTGGGGCTATTTGAGTGAGTTTGTTGCAGTATTAATACCCTCTTGGGGATGCTGTGTGTGGTGTGTTTTTCACACACAGATTAAGTTACTCTCTACAAAATTTATGTGAATACAAAGCTCAGGCTCCATAGTTGACCCAAGAATAATTACAAGGTAATAGGAAAACGATGAAATGCCTTCCAGCCCACTGGTTACAGTTCTCTGAAAAGAGGCTACAACCCATGAAAACCTGACTAAAGCAACCACTTTATCAGTGAGCCAGTGTGAGGGCTCACTGTTTATCAGTGTGAGGGCTCATCTGACTCACAGTTACTCTGCTGCAGTCGTAAGACTAGTCATGTGAATAAGAAAAGATGTATTTGGCCCAAATCTCTTTGAGTCTAAATTAGAAGAGGATCATTTATGAAAACTTAAATGATCCCTGCTGTGCTGCTGCAATAGCGGTTTTATTCCTGACATGTATCAGCATGAGCTCAGATACGTTACTCAGGAAAAATTATTAAGAAAAAAAGCTCCATTCAGCTCTGCTAGCTATAATGGGTTTGTGTTTGTCCAGTGGGTTTATGGTTAAATGAAAAGTTAAGGATAAACAACCTTCCTGAATGGCTGAAAACACCATCCACATGCTGGGTCAGACATCCACCTTCAGCAAATGCTGGTTTGGGAGGTAATCTGCACAGATAAGAAAACGAATATACAGTGTCATTGTTAGCAAGTACCACTGCAATGAAGAAGAAATGCAAAACCACTTAAAATTATGCTTTACCTGTGATAAGGTAATTTTTTTCATCTTTAAATGTTTTCACTTGAACACTATTAACTATTTAGCCTTAAGGAAAGCTCTTAAGAGGTATAAACCTTACTCGATGCTTTTGTTAAACTTAATTGCAAAAACATTAATGGTTGTTTTGCATTAAGTAGGCCATTGCTAAAAAGCTTAGTTACAATCTAGCCTTTTATGCATCCTGGGGAAGAGAGGAGAAAGGCAGCACTCTCAAATGCTGCATATCCATGCAGGGGTACAGGGAGGAACGTTTGGAAGCCTAGAACGAATGTTCTTTGAAATCGGCCTCCCTCCTGACCCTTTTTTATTTTGCAGTTCACTTCCCTTCCTTCCTTATTTGTGAGGATAATGTGTTGAGACTGCTTCTCAGCTGTTCCCAAATTCCTGCATTCCAAGTGTGTTCCCTAACTAATTAATGTGTATCTCCTCTCTCACACACACGTCCTTGTGCCCCGTGTTCCAACAATGCTGGTTCCTGCTTGCTCTAATTGCTTCAGAGACCTGTTTTATCTAAATTTTCTGTGGTTTACACATACACAGAAGGAAAGTGAATGTGAAGACAATGAATCTCGGAACCTTTTCTCCTTTAAAGGTCAGATATTTTCTACTCTACAGATACAAAAAAATCATGTCTTGGTGACTAACCCAAACTGTACATCTGCAGTGTTTTTCCACTAAATCTAAACAATAAAAATATAGTAAAGAAGGTTCTCCACTATTTATATTATGCAGTGAAAGTGCTCCTCATAGCATTAAATGATAGCCTTGCATGCTATTCACACACATTATCTGAAAGCTTATATACCTATTATATATATAAACCTAATGCCGACAGCCATAATAGTCTGCATGAACAGGGAACTCTGTGCTTACTGAACCACAGTCATGAAACTAAAAATGAAATTATAGTTCCTCCATCATAATACCAAAGTCAGTATATAATATTCTGAAAGAACAAGCACACAGTAATACCTAGCTTAATACTGGGTACCATACATTACTGTTCAATGCTATCAAAAAGCTGCACCTTCAGATTCTTTAGTGACACATATTACAGTACTTAAATTGTCATAACAAAGACAAAGGTGTTCAATTTTACATTTTTACGGCACCTCAGTTTTTATGAAATTGCATATTTTTTTCCTAATAGAAGTATAATTTATTTGCTGATTAAATTCCAATAAGGGAGTCCTGATTTTTTACAAAATACATTTGGGAACGCAAGTTCTAAGCACTGACAGGTACATTCTCCTTTGTTTCCACTCACAACCTGGACTAGAAGACTGGGATTTGACTGTTTTGTTTTTCCAACTATTTCATCATAAACCACTGAATAAATAATGTTCAGCATAACTAATGCCTCCATATAATGCTAACTCTGCATGATTCCATATAAGTGAATTTAACATGAACTGTGGTAAAATTGCAAGTACATCTCATCCACTGCTCAATTTTAGCAATTTAGTTTTTACAAACCATGATTGTTAATGGACAATTTGAGTGAGCTATTTAAAGTTAACTCTCCAGTACTTACAGGCAGATTATCCAAAGTGTGCATAACCATAACCAGACACAGAAATGGTCAGTGGAGTCACACAGAGGCTATATCTGCAAAAATTGGGCCATTTGACTCTTGAGTTTGCTTCAGATTGTTGACAGGACACACTTGTGTCCACACCAGCCCCTAAGTCATTCCTGATGGATGGAGCAATTTTCACAGATTTGGCTTCTGGGACTCACTTTCATGAAACCTCTGCTTGGACTGGGAACTCCTATGTTAGATTTTATATCCACGTGATGAGTCATGAGCTACCAGAGCTCTGGTCTTAGGCACTGGCCCCCAGGTGGGCTTGAATTCAGTGTCTCAGGTTTGGCATTAACTAACAGGTTTTCACAGAATCACAGAATCATTAAGGTTGGAAAAACCTCTGAAGTCATTGACTCCAACCTTTGATAGACCATGGCACTCAGTGCCACGTCCAGTCTTTCCTTAAAACACCTTCAGGGATGGTGACTCCACCACCTCCCTGGCAGCCCATTCCAATGCTTGACAACCCCTTCTGCTAAGAAAGTTCAGTGCAATTGATTTGTTTATTTAGGATGTGTCCATTTCATATAAACACAGACAGGGAGAGGATGTTTACATGTGTGTGTATATATACACAGTTATGTCTGCATACATAGATTTATCTGTATATACGTACTGATTGATGCATTTTGCCAGTGGATGAAGAACAAACAGAGGCATTTTGTAAATTCAAAGTGCTTATGAAGAGTCAGCTGGATCCCAGTAGGCTTTATTAGGGTTTATTAGCTTGGGTTGATTTCGTATTTCCTAGTAAAAAACAAAAGACCTTTTAGTCATGAAAGCAGAAGTCAGAAGGTGGCCTCCAGCTGTCACCTCACACTTCCCAGCCCCTCCAGACATCGCTGCCCTCACTGTTCCCAGCCACTGCCTTCCCCACAAAGCCCTTTCCTGCTCTGATCACACACTGGCCCTTGGTTCTGCATGCTCGGCATGGTCACCCCAAACCTTCACAGGATCCCAGAATCCCAGAATGAGTCAGGCTGAAAGGGAATACAGTGGGTCACCTGGTCCCAGCACACACGGCACAGGATTGTGTCCAGACAGCTCTGGAATATCCCCGGTGCGGGAGACTCCACACCCTCTCTGGTCTCTGTTCCAGTGTTCGGTCACTGCACAGGGAAGAAGTTCTTATGTTCAGGTGGAACTTTGTGCATCAGCTTCTGCCTGTTGCCTCTTGTCCTATTTCCCCTCACCACCGAGCAGAGCCTGGTCCATCCTTTGACACCCTCCCTTCAGGTACTCGTATACCTCGGTGAGGTCCCTTCTCAGTCGTCTCTCCTCGAGGCTGACCAGGCCCAGTTCCATCAGCCTTTCCAAAGAGAGATAATACATCTTCCCTCACACCAGCACCCCACGGTGCCACCCGCGCCCACTCAGCCCCCGCAGCCCCTCACAGCCCATCCCGCGGCCCCTCACACCGGCCCGGCCCCGCCGCTCCCTCTCCGCCCTCCGCCGGGGCTTCCGCCCGGGGCGCGGGGCAGGGCGGGGACAGCGATAAGATGGCGGCTCCGCTGGCCGGGCAGGCGGGGGTTGTGCTGCGGGACCTGGCTCTGCGATCCGCCCGCCTGCGGGGCGGCTTCCCGGTGAGTGAGACCGGCCCCGGCCGCCGCAGCCTCCGCTCCGCAGCCGCTCCGCTCCCCGTGCCCGCCCCGCCCGCCCCCCGCGGCCGGCGGGGATCCCGCTCGCAGCCTCCGCCCTCCGCGCCCGTGTCTGGCAGCGGGGAGGACCTCTCGCCTCCCGCCGTGGCGGAGCTGGGGCTGCTGGTGCCCGGGCTGGATGGAGGACGAGTCCAACCTCCGGCGCCGCGCGGGGTCGGGGCGAGGCTGCAGCAGAGGCGCAGGGTCAGGGCTGGGCAGCTCAAAGCGTGACCTGCAGCGCCAGCTCTGAGCGCCTCCTGCCCCGCAGCTCACACTGCTCTCGGTTATTTCGTTAGCACAGCCAGGTGTGCGTGAAGTAACGCCGTTTATCTCGACACGTTTCGGGGTGGCTTTGGCTCTGTGCTGGTGGCTGGAGTCAGGCTGGGGGGAGTGATGCCCACCGGGAAAGTCGGTCACAGCTCAGGATTCCCGATGGCCTTGGACCTCAGCAGTGTGGTGGGAAAGAGTGAATGGGCCTCCTGGAAGGGCTCGTGCTCAGGAGCTCTCCTGAGGTGTAGCAGGAGTTCATTATTCACCTCGAGAGCAGCCATGCTGGGGTGAAATGAGATACGCACGTTTTAGGCGGCTCTGGTGCCTTTGGCAACCAACTCCTTTAGTTCGTATTTTTATCATCAGCAGCAGCTGCATGGGAACTACTTTGGCCCACGTTTCTCAGCGTAAGTATTTTCCCCAAGACAAAAGCCTCTGGAGGGAACAAACCGTGTGGCTGGTTGTGCGGCGCAGGTGCCACCACTGGGAATGCTCGTGGCTGCAGGTGCGTGGCGTGGGATGGCTGCTGGATAAAGTAGGATGTTGGTGCTGAACTTAATTTGTGCGGTACGACTGCTTCTGTGTGGTTTATCTTTTAACCTGGAGGAAGTTAGCTCGCTTGATTTTAAATCTGGAATCTTCTGTGCCCAACTTTCCTATTTTAATGCTGGGTATATTGTTCAGCAGTTCAGTGCAATTGATTTGTTGATTTAGGATGTGTCCGTTTCATATAAACACAGACAGGGAGAGGATGTTTATGTGTGTGTGTATACATACACAGTTATGTCTGCATACATAGATTTATCTCTCTATATATACACATATGTAAATCTATTAATATGAATGAGCAATGTTGTCACTCCCCACAATGTTTGGTGCATATGCACTGTATGGTTGAAGGTGCATTCCTGCCATCATGACTTACATGAGTCTGATCCTACAATAAGGAACTTGGAAGTAACATCCCTGTTCTTGTAGGACTTTGATATAGAGGGCCTGGAAATGCTGGAGTGTGAAGCATTGCCTGGACAAAGTCATCTCAGAGGGTGTTCTGGTTGAGCTCAGTTTTAAGCTCTGTCTTTATCTGACGCTGCAGTAGGGATTTGAGGTACAGGTAGAAATTAGGAGTTAGTGCTCTATTCTATCGTGTCTCAAAGCATGGAGTAACCCCATAAATTACCCACTGAAATCACTGGGTATCAGCTCAGATTCTCAAGAGTATTCTTAGGATATCAAAGTGGCCGACTTTAAAAAAAAAAAAATCTTTATTTGTGCATTATTTTTGAACTAGGGATGTTGAAATTGTGTTATAAATCACATTTTATTATTCTGTTTCTGAACTTTGACAGATACTGAGAGCATCTCCCAAGATCTGTGCTTTCCAAGTAGGCTATTTTCAAGAGCCCCATCAGTACTGTTTAAGAACAAATCAAGTTCTTAATTTCAAAGTAAACCACTTTGCTGTAGAAAGGTCTTAAATTTTGTAGTGTTACCTAATAGAACTCCCATCTAAACAATCTCCTAATCTTCCCCTGCCTTAGAATTTAAGCTACAAACAAGTTGATCAGCCAGAGTCTGCATTTCTGCGCTACAAAGTAGGATAAAGGATCTGGGGGTAAGATCCTTTGAAACAGGTTTTTTTCATTTGTATCATTCCCTCCTTGGCTCGGACCATAAGTTACACTGTTACTTTATTTATTTCCCATAAACCATCAAACCCTGTCCTCAAAGCCCATCACATTGTTCTTTTCAGAGATAAGGGTCTTCTATAAGACTGATATTTCTTAATTACATCCTCTGTGAACTTTGTTGTTTTGGTAACGGTGTGTGAGGTGATACTTGGTGAGATTTAAAATCTTGCCTCATGACTTATGATTGGAGTGATGTTTGTACACTTTGTATCTGTTGCAAAATTTCCTGTTGTTTCAAAACTGTTGATATTCACGGTTGTGTTGGATCAAGTTTTTTTGAGAAATTTCGTTGTATGCTGTCATTATAATCTGCCCCCACACGTTTTCCTGTGTAACTTCATTTTAGAGGTGGAATAAATGGTACTTGATCCTATGGCATGAAAATATTTTATCATCCTTCTTCTTTCCCTTTGGCTCTTTACCTTGTTAAGCTGTTAAACATTTTTTTTTTTCTCTTTTTCCTTTTTGTATTCTTGATAGATTCAGTTCTTTGTGCTTCTGGAGTTTAAATCTGACCAAGTGTTCTAAGAAGATAAAAGATAGATTTCAGTTGTCTGCAGAGCATGTGGACAAGCGTATTTAGACCTGCTCTTGCTGGAGCAATATTTGTAAAGAGCTGTGACAAACGCTCCAGGGACCACTCCGCTCAGAATTCAATCTTGTTGGCTGGCAACAAATAGGCTCCACTGAAGGCTGTTTATTTGAATGGGAGTTGGATTGGGCCCTTTGGGAGAATGCTGTGTTTTCAAAATAGCTTCAGATGCAGTGGAATTCGGTGATGAATATAAATGAGGAACAATTAAATCAGAATAATAAAAAAAAATGCTCAAGGTAACTCTCCGGTATTCTAATAGAGTGAGCAGGTTGTCTGGTGTGTTATGGACCCTATCCCAGCCTTCAAAACAAGCCTCAGTCCTGCCAGAACACGTCCAAATTCTGTGTATGTTGAAAATATTTTAAAAAAAAAGCAAGGGCAGGAAGATGGAATTAAACAATATTCCTGTTGTAAAGTCTGCTGAATGCAGATAGATACTAGAAATAGGGAACTGTGCAAGGTTGCTCCCTGCAGATGCCTTCAGTTCCTAGTTTTGGATGCCTATAAAGCCTCATTAACATTAAACAGAGAAAGTTATGTCTTTGTTAAGAATTTATCAGCTGTGGTAGCTGACTTTCCATGCAACACAAAACATTACTGAAAACTTTTCAATTCATGACTTCAGGAGCTACTTCAATGCCGGATTCTTATTTTTTTCTTAGTTTTGTGTGAAGTTCTTGAAAATTTCTTGAAGGTTTGGACTGTTTCCCTGTTTGGCTTTTCCTGCTTGGCAGGTTTGCTATAATTTTCAAGGTTTTACGTTTAGAGGCAGGAAATACATGAGCCTACAGACTTTCACAAACAGCTTTTTCTATAAGCACCTCAACCAAATGACAGGAAAGCCCTCTTCAAACTCTATAGACAAAACTGAAATGCCAAAGTGGAGCAGATGTTTGGCCCACTCCTCCCCGGCAGTTCCATTAAACACATGGTTATTGAATCCTATTTTGAGATGAAAGAAGGAAATGAAAACATAAATATAACCTCAGACTGTGATTTTTTTGAAATTCATGTTTTGTTAATTTTTCAGTGAGTTTTATGCTGGTGGAACTTCTACCTTGGGAGCAGTTCTGGCTCTGGCACAGATATTCACAGCTTTGTCTTGAAGTAGAAAAGCTGCGATTTGCTGCATTGATTTACCTTCCTTTGTACCTCGTGGAGGTACAATCAGGGGATAGGGCTAATTAGATGAGAAGAGACAGCCTTCATGAATATGACATTAGATTGAGAATTAGCTGGGACACCTGTGGTCTTAAACCTGGCTATGGAATTTCAGACCCTCCATCTGAAATTCCGAACACTTTACCCAAAGACTCCATACCTTGCTTGGGTATATTTAGGATTGGTTAAAGTTTTTGGATATAAAAGCAAATGTTTTTGGGGTTTTTTTTATTGATCTGCCTCCTGAGGAACTAGATGAAGTGTCAGTAGACAAACTGTGTTTTCTTTACAGGTATCTGAGTGACTGTTTCCTCCTGTTTTTCTCTGAAATAGTGTCAGTGTATGTAGCAACTTTTATTTTTTTATCCTCTTTTTGAAAAAAAGAAAGAAAAAGGCCTTTCATTTGGTCTTTCTGGCTGTTTACTGCCAACAGGGATGCTATGAAGAATGTGTGAAGATACTGAGATTCTTCTGAGGATACAGAAAAGTGAGATGAGGGTTTAGAAACACTTGGGGTTTATTTGTTTCTTAGAGGTAGATCATTTCTCTGCTGTATTATCTTCTCTCTTGTTTGGAAGGTTCATTTTCAGCAAAAATTAGAAATGTACTCATTTAATGCTTGGAGATGAGATTCTCCCCCTCCCTGTTTTGGGGGCTCACTCCCAGGTACAGTTCCAGGATGATTTTTAGTG